AAAACGCTCGGAGTTATAAAGCGCGCTGCCGAAAAGACGATGGTAGAAGCATCGCGCAATACTCAAACAAGAGGGAGAGAGGACTAGAAGCTCTGAGTTACGTAAATGATTAAAAATCAAGGACGCCTGTCTAAATGCCAAATTTTCGGAGATAGGGTGAGTCGAACGAGCGAAACTGAAGACTTACTGGCACCCGCACGAGTCACTCAACAATCAGCTAGACGATAGGTGATGCAAGTGAGGTGAATGATGCAACAAAACAGTTTCCTATCCTCCGATTTAAGTATAATACCATCTGGCTTACCATCGATGGATGAAGGCTTGGTGAGAATAGGGCATAGGATTGAACTAAGGACTACCCGTGTATTGTAGGGCACATTTAGCACTGTACTGCACATGTCCATTAAGTAAGGGAAATATAGAACAGATACTGCTCTATCGTTCCTGCTATCTGAAAGACAAATGCGCAGCTATTTAAGTTGTGTTAAAATCATCATACAAGCAAACTGCTCTCAGAATTCAGAAAAATTTTGCAGCCTATACTCCTACGACCGACTTTCTATTAACCTCGGCATTAATCAAGTAATTCTTCGTATTCTTGCTGAGCAAACGCGAGGTCTTACTTTTATTCTTTATTCACGAATAAGTTGACGTTTCGGCGGATTTCGCCTTCCTCGGAGCCTGGAAAGATCAAGTTGACAGCTATCTATTCGGCCAATCACCTCCATAACGAAACAAAGAAAACGCTGAACCAAGATTTCAATCACATTGAACACAGCTTTGCACACTCACCGCTTCCTATGAGGGCTCCACTGAGTACGTGGTGTGAAGATCAACCGCACAGAATTCACATGGAAACGTAATGTGCCTCTTCCATTGGAATAACAGGCTTATATACTGCCCAATATCACGCGTGATAATGAGGTATTCTTCCCTGCGGTTCATTTTCGGATTTCTGGAATTAATCCAGAGCCCCTCGAGAGTTTTGCGCGCTTGTGTTCTCGATTCTTGTGCGAAGATCGTGACACGTACTTCAAAGTCCTCCCCGTTATATCTCTGGGTACTATGCGTGCTTAGTGGGGTATTTGGTAGTTTGCCGGCTAGGTGTTCTTTTATGCGGACATAGAGGGGTCTGCCCGTTTCGCCAATGTATTCGTCTCCGCACGCCTTACAGGAGATCAGATAAACTATACCCGAGCTCATGCAATCCCCGTCTTTACCATTGGGCAAATTATGCAATTTTGCGTTTCACATAGACGGTCATATAAGCGGCTACGAACTGGCTGGCGCCTGAAATTACTCGGTGGCATTTCAACTATGTTTACTGAATTCTTAAGACCTACCCTTCTTAAGCAGCGTTTTACAGCTGCACTTACATCATTTGAGATGAAGCGTAGGATAAACGCGACCTTTATACCGCTAGAGTTGCCGTTTGGAGGCCTCCGATTTCCTCTACACATATCCCGAGCTACAGTTTCGTAGCCATTAGAAATGGCTAATTGCCGCGCCAAGTTCCGGTACTCCTCTTTCTGCTCTCTTCCCCGAAACATTTGTCCATTTCCTCTTGTGTTGAGCAAAGGACAAAACAGTCATCTATATATCTACAGTAAAGCAGCGCTAAACGACAACTCTAGCGTTAGAAAGGTTCCGTTTATCCTACCCTTCATCTCAAATGATGTAAGTACAGCTATAAAACGCTGCTTAAGAAGGGCGGGCCTAGAGAATTCGGTAAACGTGGTTGAAAGGAAATCGCAAGAAGGAAAAAAATTCTAAATTCAAAAACGAAGTGCGAAAATCACCATGAACACAGATTTGGTCAGTTCATTTCTCAGCCGTGGGGAAGATGCCGTTGTTGATAAAAGGTTGCGAAATCGCTAACCACAGGCTGGCACCATCGCGGTTGGATTACCTGTTCTCGTCACGTAAGAAAGTTGTGGATGTTCTAAACGAATCAACAGATACCTCACAGAGAATATGGGAAAGTGGGAAAGCAAAGAGGAAAAGTGCTGTAGTACTGTAGTACTGAGGTAAAAGTACAAGAGTGCTGCTGACCACATACTCTCCTCAGCAAGTCCTACGACTTTCGCAAAAACTCCATTTGGCGTATCCTGTCGGTTAAACAAGTTTTCTTTGCTGAAGTCAGATAACCATGCTAGATCGCTCCCAAGCCATGATCACAGGCAACTCACTTACATTTTCGGAATGGTAGAATGTTTGTTGCTTTGTGACTAAGCACGTTTTAGCAGTGCGGTGGCTACTCCTAGCACAGAATTTTTTTAGGTAGGTATTAAAATGGGAATGTCTAACCGTTCTCCAGCTGAAGTGAGGGTGCTGTAAGTGTGCGAACACCGAAAACTGAAAGAAAAGTAATTAACACTTAGGTCGAAGTCACTCACACTGATCTTATTCACACCGCTGCTATAAAACTTTCATGCATCTACCAATCAAGTTACGCTTTGAGCGAACGGTCCAGGAACAGCCATATAAAACCTGAATTATTGGTAAAAGAGACCTGCCCAAACTATGAAGGCACACAAATATGCGTACCACTTGCTGATCTTACTAACACATGGAGAATGGCCAGCCATCCCGTCATTTGTGTCCAAAAACAAATCTGAATAACTGCCACTTTCGATAACTCACTGTTTTAATGAGTTAACGGAGAGCGATACCTCATACCCTGCGGATAACATTGTAATGTACCATATTTTCACACCATAGGACCATTGTACCGCTACTATTCTATTTGGTCTTCCATTGTCCTCTTCTCATCTTCCACTAGATAACCTCCTTAGCGACCATTTTACTTCTCTTGTTGCATATGCTAAGCAGATTGGATTTCCCTCGAACCAGTCTCACAACGCTTCCACACAAGTTGACCGCATAGCACGTTTTTACTCGTATAGTCAATTGTTCAAGAGTGTAGTCCACCAATCCAGTCAAATCGCATACCTGATTCTCTTCTCCGCTTATGGCATGAGCTTACTGGAGAATGTTCATGTATAGTTATCTTTAGCGCACAACGTGAACGGCCAGACCACATATTCGCGTCTCTTATGTGAGATATAATGATGGAATCCTATTTCTTGTCTAAACGATACCATGGATTATCGAAATACTACAGACAAACAGATAAACAAACAAACAAACACACGTTTATGTTGAACTGTGACTTATAGGGTCTAGACGTTTCTTCTAATAAGTTCCATAAGTGGACTGACCTTCTAGAATTTGTTTTATCCAATAGGCATCGACAAGGATTCAGTATAGGCTGAAACACATGCAGACAAATAGAGCTGAGCTAACAGCGCTTTAAACGCATTTCTTGTCACTATTTTGGATCCAATAACGTTCGCCATGAACAGGATGGCCCCACAATGAAACCGTAAATTTAACCAAAACTGGTTGCCTTCGATGACCCACGGTTCCTAAGGCTTTGCAATGTTTGACCACTCGTCGCTGATCTCATCACCATTGTCATCATCATCTTTGTCTTCTCCCTCCTATTTATTTTTTTCATATTGCTCGACGGAAACTGCAACACATTTCTAACTCTCACTGGCGTCTCTGGCTTCTTCCTCTTTACTCTAGACCAACAGCCGGAAGTGAAGTTCAGCTCTTATTCTTCTGATTTAATTCAATTGTATGAAATCCATCCTGTTGACCTAATTGGTTGTTTCTTCCTTCCAATTCGCCATGGTCAACGACAGCTTGATACTTGATACTTGAATGGTCCGTCCTCATTGGTTGTGCGGGCCCAGCGTAATCTCCATTTTTCGGAGATTTCCTGGTTAAGCCATTATGGTTCCTTGGAATCCTGAGGTCATCCTGGCCAAAGTCTGCTCTAGGTCTTCA